CATTCCTGACTGGAGTTTAGGGGTGCCAGCACATCGCCCCCATAGTGTCCCCCTGGACCTGGCACTGCCCAGCATTCCTGACCAGGGGTTGGGGGTCCCAGCACAGCCCCCCCCAGCACATCCCGCTGCTTCAAGTCCCCTTCAAACAGGATCATTTTTTGGGGTGGATTTGGCCCAAACCCAGCAAATCTGGCTTTAACCAATCTTGGGGGTTCTCCCCTCTCCCCTCCTCACCCAAAACCCAGGCTCAGCTCAGCTCCCCATCCCCTCAGTCCCTCCCAGGAATTGCATTTACATTTCCCAATCCAACAATGCTGTTCTCCCCATGGGGGATCTTGATTGCAGCAACTGCTTAAGAAATAATTCAAAGAAATTCAGAGAATGAAGAGACAAGAAGGAAGAGCTGCCAGCTCCAACCAAGCTCCTTGCCAATCATTTCCTTTAATTAACCTGTGCAAATGAACCAATCAAAACCACATTGGTACAATTTTATTATTTTTAATTGAGTTCTAGAGAAATTCTGCAGAATAGAAAAGAACTTTTTGAGGCCATAAACTCTTCCAGGAGTTCTACAGGGCTGGGCAGCAGCTCCAGCTGTGCTCGGTGTGTCCCAACCGTTCCCATGCTGGCACAGCCTGGCTTCCTCCACACACTTGGAAGTGTCCTGAAGGTGGAACCAGGAAAGAAGCCTCTTATGGCCACAGTCTTGGGATTGAGGGGAAGAGCAGGAGTTTCCAGTCTTCAGCAGCTCCCACTCCGTCAGCACCGACAGCAAACACGGCTTCAGCCTGGGCCAGACACAGGGAGTGGGAGATTTCACAGATCCTGGTCTCACCTTGGCCCTTGTGCAGGTCCAGCCTGACAGAGAGAGGGAAGGGAACAGATCAGGACAGACAGCCTGCTCCCAGAAAATCATCCCAATCCACCGCGTGTTAAACACAGCTGTACAGAATTCCCGAGCTGTTCCTTTCCCTGCAGACCAGAGCTCGGGGGGAAGCTGGCTATCCACTCCCCAGTTCCCTCAGGCTTGGTTTGTTGAACCTTCTCAGGGTTAATTTAGCAAACTTCAGGGTTTGGTGATGCCAGCACCAAAAGCTGTGAGAAAGAAGCTGAACTGAAGCCAGCTAAGAGCGGTCCCTGCTGATGACTCCCGAGAACAGCTCAGTCAAAAGGGGGCAGGATGGATTCCGTACTCCCATTCCTCACTCACCTGGCCAAGGTCAGAGTTCTCTGCCCACCGAGGACACAGCGACCAGCAGGGACCTTTCTCCCACTCTCCAGCACAGGTTTCCTCCCTCCACACGCAGGGAACACAGACTTAGTCCTGGGCTGGCAACAGGAGAGGCACAAGGGTCATTTTGAAGCCATTCCAACCGCAACGCTGTCCAGACCTGGGTGAAAGCGCTTCCCACACCACTCCTGGAATTTTCTTCCCCGTCCCTTCCATTTTCAGGAGGTTTCTGTGGGAGTCGGGATTATCGGTGCTGTTCAGAAGCTGCATGTGGTGCCTAAAGCATTTCCTCGGGAACGTGGAGCTTCCCTCGTGCCTTTCACTTCTCTATGCCGAATATTCTTCCCAATGCTCCACAGTCTAGAAAGAACAAAAGGGAAAAGAAGGAATACCAGTTCGTTTTGACATAGGGAAAGTTGATTACCCCAACACACTTCCAGGTG